TTCCACCTCGCTGGAAGACTAACCATACAACTGGGTGACAAATATGAAGCACAGAGACGATTTGTAGAAGCAAAGCAGCTCTTCAAAAGCGTACTTACCATCAGCCAAATGATATGCTGCAAGTATGGAGAACTAGTGGCTCACGATAGACTTGGAGATGTATGTTTGAGCCTCCGTGAAATGCAGAATGCAAAGAAATACTACCAGAAAGCACTTGCCATCGCGATAGAAATTGGCGACAGAGAAGGAGAAGGAAGTGCATACGGGAACCTGGGATCCGTGTTTTCTTCTCTTAGCGAATATCAGAAAGCTAAAGAATATCACGAGAAAGCACTTGCCATCGCAATAGAAATTGGCAACAGACGACTAGAAGGAAGAAAATACAGGGACCTCGGGGTTCAGTTTTATTCCCTTTGCGAATATAAGACGGCTAAAGAACTTCAAGAGAAAGCACTTGCCATCGCGATAGAAATTGGTGACAGAGAAGGAGAAAAAAGTGCATACGGGGACCTCGGATCTGTGTTTCATTCCCGTGGCGAATATCAGAAGGCGAAAGAATACCTAGAGAAAGCACTTGCTATCGCGATAGAAACTGGTGACAGAAAAGGAGAAGGAAGTGCGTACGGGAACCTGGGATCTGTGTTTTCTTCTCTTGGCGAATATCAGAAGGCTAAAGAATATCACGAGAAAGCACTTGCCATCGCGATAGAAATTGGCCACAGAGAAGACGAAGGTCTCGAATACTTTCGAATTGGAGTTGATTATTCTTACCTTAGAACATTTTGGCAAGCTAAATAATGTTTGGACAAAGCAGTCGGCGTCAGTATAGCAATTGGTAGCAGAGAATTAGAAGCTCGGGCTACTGCTTCTTTGGCAGGTGTTTGTAATTCTGTGAATGACTTTCAGAAAGCAAAAAAACTTTGTGAGAAGGCGCTTACTATCAGCAGAGAATGTGGCTATAGGGATTTGGAAGCACGAGTTTACTTCATCCTTGGAAATACATACCATTTCCTCGGTAAATGTGGCGAGGCAGAAGATTGTGTGGAGAAAGCTTGTATTATAAGCAGCCAAATTGGAGACAAAATGATGGAGTTTGAAAGCCTTATCAATATCATACAGTTCAAGTTAACGCATTCAGAGGTTGCGGAGGCAAAGCATTATCTCATTCATTGCATTGAAAAATACGAGCAAGTCAGAACTTTTCTGGAAGGAAACAGTGAATTTAAAATGTCTTTGTTGGAGGTACACGGTACTTTTCCCTACCAGTTGCTCACTCGCTTGCTTTGCGAGACTGAAAAATTTCAAGATGCTCTCTATCTAGAGGAACTGGGACGAGCAAGAGTCCTCGCAGAATTAATGGCAGACAAGTACTCCGTGGAAAGCCACATCTCAGCTAATCCACACTCATGGGTCGGGATTGAAAAAATCGTGAAAAGAGAAAGTAACTCAGTTTTTTTGTATATTTCGTACGGAGAGCGGCAAGTTTTTCTCTGGGTGTTGAAAGCAAGTGGAGACACTTGCTTTCGAAAATCAGACGAAGTAGAACTAAACACTCTTGATGCTGAGCAAGTTTGCGATGTGGAAGGAATTTTTAAAAAGAGCGCCGTTTGGTTCGGCGTTTTACCCACAGCCAACTGTGAGGATCGATCTTTAGATGACAACGTGACGATATCTCCTCGTGGAAACAGCCGAACAAATTTACGAGGTGAACAAACCAAAGATACCGAAAGAATTCATCATTTGTGTTACGAATGGATCGTCGCGCCTGTGGCAGATTTACTTACAGAGCCTGAAATAATCATTGTCCCGGATCGTTTTTCGTACCGAGTCCCATTTGCTGCCTTGCGTGATGAACCTGCCGGAAAGTATTTGTCGGAGAGGTACAGACTACGCATTGTCCCTTCCCTGACGTGCCTCCAACACATTCAAGAATGTCCAGCGGACTATCACAGTCAAACTGATGCACTGGTAGTGGGTGATCCTACGGTTGGCGAAGTGCATTATAATGGGCGTCACCTTCACATTACACCATTGTTCTGTGCAAACAAGGAAGCAAGGATGGTTGGTGAACTGCTGGGCGTTGAGCCTTTGTTGGGAGGACGCGCAACAAAGCAGGTGGTACTTCAAGCAATATCCTCAGTGAGTCTGATACATCTTGCCGCACATGGAAATGCCGAAAGAGGAGAGATTGCCCTCTCTCCACAAAGTGCTGCCAACAGTATTCCACAAGAGAAAGACTACCTCCTGACTATGTCCGACATCCAAGGAATTCAAGTGCGAGCTAAACTGGTTGTACTCAGCTGTTGTCACAGTGGGCGTGGATTGGTTAAAAAAGAAGGAGTTGTTGGAATTGCTCGAGCATTCTTAGCATCCGGTGCACGTTCAGTGTTGGTAGCATCGTGGGCTTTAGAAGACAAAGCAACGGCAAACCTCATGAAACATTTCTATAAACACCTTGTTCGTGGAGAAAGTGCCAGTGAATCTCTTCACCAGGCCGTTCAATGGTTGAGAAGCGATGGCTTCCCCGAACCTTCCCAATGGGCTCCGTTCGTACTGATGGGGGATAATGTGACATTTGATTTCATGAAAAAAGAGTAAGTCTGATTAAAAGGAGAAAGTTTCTATAATAAACTGATTAGCACACTTAATTTTATCAGTTGATTGCATTATACTCAGTTCTTGTTTGTTTGTTCGATTTTAACAAGTGCTCGGAGCCGGAAGATTTTGGAGAAACGCTTCCTAAACTGAATTTGCATTGCAGCAAATGGCTTGAATTTGCATTAATACGATGCTAGACGTTGTGACGATGAAAGTAATCTAAGAAACTTACGCCAACTCTAAAAAAGTTCAATTTATTGTGTAAAAAAACTAACAATAACAACAATTAAATGATTATTCCGTAGTCACTTTTGCATCAAGGATAGTATGTGCGACAATAATTTGGAAAGTTTGAATAATAATAACCAATGATATTAAGAGGATAGTAATCTGCTCCGTTTGCTTTAAAGTTGAAATAGTTACAAATGTACAATGTTTTTTTTTTTTCAGGAAATAAGAACTCAAGGAGGATAACAAAAAGGCAAACAAAGGAAGAGAGTGACGACTGATCCTAAAGACTCTTCATCCTCCTTATTAACTTTAAATGGACACCGGTATATTACTTTGCGTATACATGTTTAATTTTTTTTTCTTTTTTAAGTAAAGAAGTCGTTTTTACATGTTTCTGCAAATACGTTTGAATCGAAACCGAGCGACAATGAAACCTGRAAAAATCGGCCGTTAGATCTATTAAGTATATCAATAGGGAATTAAATTAAATTGAGATGGAAAAATTGAACGCAGTAAATTAGCTAAAAGTCTTAAGATGAGAGAGTGTTGGCAAAATTTCGTAAACACTCCCAAGTTAATTCTTGATTCACACAACCATGATCTAGTTCTTAATTCTCCCGTAGCGTGCAAACGTGATCAAAGAGTGATAACTACTGTTCGAAGGCACATGTAAAGGAGATGATAAAATAACAAACAAGGGGAAGAGGGAACAAAAAATACGCGAGATACAACATAATAATCTAAAATTTAAACGGGGAAGGGAGTGCAATATACTAAAAAAATTAGTAACAAAAAGAGAAATAAAGAGAAACAGAATTCAAATTATCGAGGTAAAATTAAAAAAAAATCATTGCGCGACATAACAAATCAATAGTCAAACAGAAGAGCCAGTTCGCAGGATATGAATGTGACAATCAGCCAGAATTCAGAAAAAAAGACCAGGGGGATGGATGTTAAGAAACAAATAAACATTGGAAAAATACAGCGGGCTAAATAGTGACTTGGAGATCGAACATAGAAGAGAAAATGCTAGATTCTAACGCAAAATTCGATCAGAGAAGAGAATGTACCACACGCAAGATACAAATAAAATAAAGAAATGAAAAAAAGACAAAATCAATGCGCAATATATCCGTAACAAACAAAAGTAAAGAGAGGAAACAGGGGAATCGTCATATTGGAAAGAAAAGGAAAATCTATTGCGCAAAACACTAAAGTAAAAGTCAATCAGGAGAAGGGAAGAAACTAAAAAACGAAAAAATAAACTAAAGTAAGAAACTGTAAACATGAGCATGTTACACATGCGTGAGTTATGTTTTGGATGGCTGGGTTGAGATAAGACATTTTTAGTGACTAATTTTTCGATTTTGTAAAAGAAAAAGAGCATTAACTTTTAAAGTTTCCAACAAAAATTTCGTTCAAGAGGGAGCAAAAAATACCCTTTTAGTTTTTATATGTAATAAACTCAGACATAGGTATTTTGTGTTCTGTTGTTACTGTTGTCTGAACAATTTGATGTCACGTTAACTATGGCTTCCTTTGCAGCCCTCGTTTGGTCTCGTCACCCAACGCGCTCTCTCCCCCGTGGCGTGACGACACCATACAATGGCTGCGATTAAGACTTTGCTGGCTCATAATGGTGCATCGGCTCAAGCGCTTTTCATAATTTTACCGCAGAAACCAAACCAAAATTCCATTTTATCTCCGTGAGACCTTATCCAAATACGTTTGGCTGTCTACGCTTTTCAAATAGGAAAGGCACATTAAACGAGGGGAAAAAAATCATATTTCAAAGACTTTTACGTGGGCATTGCAACACGTGAGGGGTAAGGTGTAGTTGTCAATCTGGACTTTGCCTTTTGCATGTGGAAGACGACATTGAATACTGGTTGTTTACAAGGAAATCACACATAATAGGGTGAAGTCCAAGGTAGCTTTCAGGCGAACTTGATTGTTAGAAAACGGCGTCAAAGCATGTGACAGTTGCGTGGAAAATTTACCAACAGTATCATTTGGTTTCATTTAAAATTATTTGTGGCGAAGGATTATACGTAAAATTTAGGCTGTTAACTGGAAAATGTCATTTCATTGGGCAAAGCCTAATCAATAGTGGAAAAATACTGAAAAATACCGTTTAAAAACACAACATGTAACTCAACTTCAAAAAGTAAAGAAACGAAAATTAACAGGGCAGTCGACACAGAAAGTAAATTTAGCTTGCAAATCTTTTCGACCTTGGTCAATAAAGCAACCACAAGGCAAAAACAAGATTATTGATCAAACATGCTTTTTACAAATGCTTTGCGCAAATTTTTCCTGAGTCAGCAAAACTAGCCCTTACAAATCAAACGCTGAAGTGATAACTTCATGTTAGACCTTACGTTAAGGATGAA